TGATATCTTTATTGAACAGCGTTGCGTTCACTCCGACGCGATGTCCGTGTCAGCTGAGGTCAGGAATGCTCGGCACTTAGTAGTCATCCGGGCGTCTTGTTTTTTAACCTTCAGCGCTAGAAACTACTCTCGCGCATCCTGAGTAACCATTATTTCAATAATCGCGTCAACCTATCATCGCCTTTCCAGCTTTATTATCTTTTCTACAACTAAATTGTTTATATTTATTCTCCACCTCTTTCAATCCGAGGAGTACAGAACTTGCTATTTGCATAGCATCCATCACAGACGTCGTTTACACACGTTTGTGTTTTTTTTATTGTATTTATTATGATGGTCCTAATCTCGATTATAGTTTAAAGGGAAAATTGGAATCATAATGCATGACGTAGTTATCAACTTAATAGCGAGCGTGTCAATAAAGAAGTAAATAGTAGGTAAAAGCTCCTTGCATTGACTCGTTCATCTAAGAACTTTGCACTGTCTCAAAAGAAAGGTTAGTTTGTAATTAAGATGGCCCAAGCTGTACAAAAATAAGACTATTGCTAATAATTTAAATTAAATAAAAATGAGTTTTGAATAACTGTTAACATTTAAAAGCAGCTGTTGAAAAATAATCAAGTTTAAAAGTATTTAAAGTGATTTCTTCTCTTTGAAGTCACTCTATAGCACCTTAAATGTGGCCATATAATACTTAAAAAGATCATAGTAGGGAAAAAATAATATTTAAATTCATAAAAATACTTTATTAATATTTATGTTATGTATAAAAAAAGCCTTCAATTAATGAACTAATACATCAAAATGATCAAAATACACTAAAGGATAGGATTTCATTTATTTGTTTAATACAGCAACATTTTAACTATAGCGTTTCATTATAGGATAGGGTTATTTTACTTTAGTACTTGCAACACTGAATCCATGCGTCAAGCATCAAAACGGTCAAAGTGTCAATGTCAGACTTGATCCGATTCACGCAGATTCACGTTTAAAGACTTAGGCGCCGTTTCTCGGTATATTATGTACGCTTTTCCTTCGTATTTGTGTTTTATTTTTTATTTTTATTTTTATTTTCATTTATCACTCCATATTTTTATTGAACATAACAATATCAAAAAACAATTACATTTCACGTAAATTAGAATAAAGACGTAATACAAAAATAATAAAAGCATTAACATTACATAAGGTATTAATAAAATATTAAACAAAATGTCAAAATTTTAGTAATTTCTTAGTCACAAATTTGAAATGTCGAATATAAACGTTATTAATACAAAATGACTAATAATAACAGAATTGTATAATTTTCTTATACAATTCTCTTATTATTTAGTTGTTATATCAATAAAATTAAATGCTTTTAACATATTTCTTATCTTATTAGTCTATAAAACCTTCCTAAAATGTTTATTATATAAAATTTTAGAACAGACCATTGAGCTATTATGTACTACGTACTAGAGGCGACACTGCATTCAGCTACTCTGGTCCACTCAACTGCGGTGCATACACCGCACTTTAATTAGTCACTCGCTAGGCGCTTGTGGAGTTGTCACGTATTGTGTTGATTAAAAAAAATTTCTTGATAAAAATATGCCGTCGTGTGTACTTAGATATTGCACAAATAATTCAAGAAATGTCAGCAAAAACCAAGGAATTACTTTTCATTGGTTAATAAGATACTTAATCAATGAAAAAGTATTATAGATTAATAATAAAACAAATTATTTCTAAGACGCCATCTCGTGTCATGGAATATAGATTATGAAATTAACATGTTCAGATGCGACATTTCTGTGGGTACTTAAGTATAGGACGAATATATTATTATACACATTTTTTTGTAGAATCATGTATACGTTATTATAATTAGGTTAAATTTTTAATATAATCGATGGAATCAGGCGTTACTTTGCGGAAATCCATTATAATAAAAAAATAAAGATATAAATTTCTTCGCAACCTTCCGCCAAACAAATACAATGATGTGTCTTACCTAGATTGAAGAGCACCTCCCGCCCTCCCTCAATTGCATGCACTAACTCCGTCACCACTAATCCCAGCACCACTACTCCCAACACCATTATTCCAGGCGAGACACACCATCGACGATAATACGACACGTGTTTCGCCTCTACACGAGGCATCTTCAGGTAATGCAGACTCTACGGCGGCTGACCGCTTAGCGGTCAAAAATTTATATTTTTATTTTTTAAATTTTTAATGTTTAAATCTGCTTCTTATTCTTTTATTTTATTTTTAGGTTTCCACATTAAAGTCAAGGTAAAATAAATTCGTCCATCTTTAACTCTCGCGTGCCCAGCATTTATGAACGACTCTTATTCTAATTTAAATAAATAAGTTTTGATAAACATTCATTTAGTATGTTTTATATTTGACATAGATAACTTTTAAAATATTCAGATAATAATATCATAAAAATGTAACTGTGATATAATAATAGTAGTATATAATAGTAGTAGTAAGTAATATTATATTAAATAAGCAAATATAATATACAAATTAAATGGCAAAATTTAAATATTGTTCTCGATATAATTTACCTATTTAACAATACAATCTACTATTACCTACGGATCATTCTACCTATGTTTATTCTATGATAAAAAAAACCAACCGCGTCAACACAGAGTAGCGCACATTTTTTTGTTTGAGATAGCAGTTCTAGTACGTAAGTACATGTTACTTCAATTGAACAGACTGATAAATTTTTGTATAAGTTTATTTAAACAATATTTTTTTATATCATATTTCTGTAACAGTCAAATAAAATTCAATACCGGCAGTGTACTGGGACCTTTTCTGTTCTTGATATACATTAACGATCTTTCTGACTTTACTACAAGCAAATGCATTTTATTCGCTGATGACACTACTCTTATAGTTAATGGTAATAACAGATCTGAACTTGAAATCGCAGCTAATGGTGCTCTAAATGAGGTCATACAGTGGATGAATATAAATAATTTAGATATAAATATAAATAAGACGAAATTTATTGAATATAAAACCCTCAAAAACATTTCAAATGACATTAAACTCACATATAACAACACGATAATTGAAGAAGTCGTTTCCACGACATTTCTAGGAATAATATTTGATAAATTTTGTAGTTGGAAGCCTCATATAGAAAGCCTTTGTACTAAAATAGATCGTTTCCTTTTTTGCATTGCGTAGACTAAGAAATATTGTATCAGAAAGAGCTGCACTGATGGCATATCATGGATCATGGTATATCTCATCCATACTACGATATGGTGTTCTACTCTGGGGGTATTCGGTGGATTCGGACAAAGCATTTAAAGCACAAAAACGCTGCATAAGAGCTCTTTGTGGTGTTGATCCTTTAGTGAGTTGCAAACCTTTGTTCAAAACTAAAAAGATCCTGCCTTTGCCTTCATTATACATATTTGAAATGTGCGTGTGTTCATAAGCATCCACATTTATTTCAACGTAAGTGTGATGTGAGTGAAAGTAAGGGTAGATACAAGAATAGGTTATATGCGCCAGCAAATCGTCTAAAAGTTACAAAAAGAAATGCTTCTGCAATGTCGATTAGAATTTATAATAAATTACCTGATAATTTAAAGCGTAAAAGTTTATTGTCATTTAAGAAATCTGTTTTGGCATTGTTGCTCCGTAAATGTTATTATTCTGTAGAAGAGTTCTTAAACGACAACGACCTACATACGAGCAATAATGAAGTATGATGGATTATTCGTAATATGTATTTAAAAAAAAATAATGTTTTTGATATTATTTTATATAAAATTTGACTTATGTATCTAGTTAATTAATAAATTTGATGTAAAAATAGAAAGATATTAGTGACAATTGGATATGTAACATTATATAATTATTGACGTAAGAATAATAATTAATATATGACATTGACCTATAATAATAATCTTACTTGATATAATAATACTTACTTATATTTTTTCTGACACTGTGGCTTAATAAATTAATTATCAAATCAAGTAAATAATATTATATAATGTTAAATTAATATAATATGTTGTTAAATTCGATAAGTATTGTTGTTTAGGTTACTTGACCATTAATATTTGTACACCACTAAGGTAGAATATGTAGAACGAATTGTAGTCAAACACCATTGTACAACCATATTCTTGCAAATAAAGATTATTATTATTATTATTATTATTAATAACAAACAAAACACCAACATTACGACTGCTATTACTCAATTTTTGTTATTAAAAATAAAAACGACTTTTATTTTTTAATTTCAAACAGTGTATTTCTATTTCAAAAAAGATAACGTAAATACTTTTTACTGACAAAGTTAAATTTTAAAAAATATCAGCTTTTGCTAGCAATCACAACTTTTTTTGATGTGTGTATATATTATGGCAAGCGACAAAACGAGAACACAGGTGGACTACCTGATAGTAAGTGGATGCTGTGGCCCATAGACATTTACATTTATTTTTCCCTCGATTAAGAATCAAAATGCAGATGTGTTGTCAGGACTAAGACGGAATGCCTCGTTTCCAGTAAAAAGGGTCTCCGGTTCTCTACACTCACCATACGAAACACAGCAGCATTAAGCTACTATTTTACGCTGGTATTCTGTGAGACCGTGATCCTTCCCCGGTCGAGGCGACCCATTCTTGCTACAAACATAATATAGCTGCAACGTGGCTCTACCACGTAATTTTTTTTAAATTAAAATACATAAAATTAATATGAACTAATTCAATTTTTATATCAAGTTCTTTTATTGTATATTGAAAAAATCTATCGTTAAAATTAATAACAATATTATATATTAATAAGCTGATAAATTCAATCAACGTTACATAGATGATTTATAGATAATTCTAGATAATTCTTATCTTCATCAATCATTTATTATTATTATACTGCACTTTTATATTACCTATTATCGCCTGGAATTGTGAAGTTCAAATCAATTTATTTAATGTTCAAATACATGAGTGAAAATGAATTTTTGGTTGCATATATTTGTATTATGCTTGCCATTGGTTTACTGCAGTACCGGTATGTATATAACTCTTAATCTATATATTTAAAAAGAAAACAATTGCCTTGCGTTAGTCCTGTAAAAACTGGCTCGACCGCTTTTGCTGAAATGTTTTGTGTGTTTGTGTGGGTCCTTTGAAAGTTTCAATTCTTAATTAGACCTGGTAGTTAGCGCTGTTGCAGGAATCCAAAAATCATTCGTGCAAACCCGGAGTGAATCGCTAGTTACTAATACAAGTATAAAGGACTACTGTGCTACTACTAAAGATTTTTAAACGGCTAAAAAACATAACACCGTAAACCATTCGAAAACTAGACTTATCTAGCTTATTTTTAGCAGTGACATTTGATAGGCTGTGATAAATTAATTCACAATTCGTAATTCGTAATTATTTATTTCCATAGAATATAGATATTCAAAATAATAATTAAAATATATAAGTTCCATTACATTCTTTCTAATCCAGTTGTGCAGTTTTAAATAAATATTTATTACACATTTTTTATTGTAAAATGTCCAAATAATAATAGAATAAAATAAGAATCAAAAGATTTAATACGAAAAATAATGTCATTAATGAATATGTTTCATTTAGTAAAGTTATGTAGAATATTTTTATAATAGGTCTTTTCCCATTAAATTGCCGTTCTGCAGCACTGGTCATTTCAAATAAAAATAATTTTGTTTGGCTAAGTATTCTAATTTCAAATTTCATTTTAGGGACATGGAATTCTTTTTTCAAAATTAATCATTTGTTTTTGATAAGCGTTAATTATTTTATCGCATTTGAATATTTTTCGTCATCATACATACGGCACTTGTTTTGTTGGTTTACCCGCTTCCGTTCTGGAAATTTTGACCTGAAAAATATACTCCGTGTTCGTCCGAAGACTTCGGCCGACAATGATTAATTAAAGACGATTGTTGGAAGCTAATGATAATTTAAGGCTGAATTGGCAGAAGCTTTCGACTTTAGCATCAAAACATTATTGCTCCATTTGCATCAAATTGACAAGGTTAAAAAATTTACAAATGGGTGACCCACAAACGCAATGATTGCTACCGTGAAGTACGCGTCCAGACATTCCTTGCACTGCTCCAACAAAAACGAAGGAATTTTGAACCGCATTGTTTTCTGTGACGAAAAATGGATTCTGTTTGATAATCACAAACACTCAGTAAGTTGGTTGGATCCTTTATTGGATCCTTCAGTACCTAAACAATGCCCTAAACGAAATCTTACCCCTAGAAAAGTGATGGTTAATGTTTGGTGGTCTAGCGCCGGTGTGATTAATCACAGCTTCTTACCAAAGGGTATGAGCATTACTCTATAGATGTGTACTGTGAAGAAATGAACAAAATTATGTAGAAACTCACATGTCTCCAACTAGCTTTGGTCAGTCACTCGTCTTCGATGCTACTGCACGACAATGCGCGGTCTCATACTGCACAACAGACGGTCTCCAAGTTACAAGAGCAGGGGTTAGAAGCTCTCCAACGTCCGGCATACTTACCAGACCTTGAGCCTGCAGACTTCTACTTTTTTCAGAATTAATATAACATTTTGGCGGGAAAAAAAATGCAGTACCCGAGAGGCAGTACATAATGCTTTTTAAGAATTTGTTCCCTTCCGTCCAGCTGCTTTCTTCAAGAAGGATATCATTAAACAACAACAGTAACAGTAGTTGGATTTTGCGGGTGGGTGATAAATAAGTGCATACGTGTTCGTCTTACTTTAATTACTAATCACTTAATAAACTATTTACTTACATTTATTTTAGGGACGTTATCACGTATAAAACACGTAAATTACTTTAAAGGCAAGTTTGTAATGCAATAGATTTTTTTTCAATTGCACCACTCTGCTGGAGCACATTTTGTTTCTATAATCACTTTGTGAATTTTGTTCATCACTATGGCCACAATTGCTGACATTGCCGAAACTCAGAACTTTTTACGTGGTAGAGCCATGCTGCAGTTATATTAGTAGTATAGTTGTAGCACGAATGGGTCGGCTCGACCGGGGAAGGACCACGCTCTCACAGAATACCAGCGTGAAATAGTAGCTTGATGCTGCTGTGTTTCGTATGGTGAGTGTAGAGAACCAGAAACCCTTTTTACTGGAAACGAGGCATTCCATCTCAGTCCTCACGGGTGACAACGCATCTGCATTTTGATTTTTAATGGAGGATAGATGTAGATGTCTATGGGCCGTAGCAACCACTTACCATCAGGTGGACTGTGTGCTCGTTTGTCACCCTATTCTATAAAAAAAAAAAAAAAAGGTCCCTGGAAGCGTTAATCACTCGTAAGATGGAAGAGTTTGAGAAGCAGCTCGGTTCCAGTTCTTCCAAGGCTGTTGCCGTTGAGAAGGTTGGTCAGGATTTTACTTCTTTTCGGGACTTTGTTCAAGATATGTTCAACCTGCTTCGCCAACAAATAGCAGAGATTAGCCGGTCAGTTGACTCCATTGAGACAAGACACCGCAGAAAATATCTTTTGTTAAGCGGTGTTCCAGAAAAAGCTGATGAAGATGTGCCTAATGTTGTTGTAAACATTATTCAGAAACACCTGAGCATGACGAATCTCTCATCATCGTCTATCCGGGTGGCTCATAGACTGGGTAGGGCAAAGACGGGTCACAACCGACCGATACTTTTTCGCTTTGCTGATTTCTCGATGCGTTTTGCTGCCTGGCACAAGAAGACTATGCTGAAGGGATCATCGTTTACGTTATCCGATTTTCTCACAAAATATCGGCAGAATTTATTCATGCAAGCTCGAAAACAATTTGGGATAAAAAAGGTTTGGTCTTCAAATGGCTTCATCAGTGTCAGGTTGCCCGATGGTTGCCGCCAGTGTATTCAATGCAATGAGGATCTCAACCGGCTGGTACGTGAACATAGCAAGGCAAGATGTGATCAGGAACCTCAACCGGTGATGGAAGAAACCAGGGTTTCGAGGGAGCCTGGAAACACGCGCAGCAAAGTACCGCGAACTAGGCGTACGGTAAAGAAACACTAATACCATATATTTGTTTCGATAATTTGTTTGATCATTATACTTAGAAGGGCATATGGTTACTGGTTGTTCAACATAAATAGCGCAGGCCACTTTTTCTGTACTGTGAATCATTGCATTGTTCTCATTCGCTGGCCGCTCAGAGTTGGTAAATAACTTTTAGTTTAAGTAATTATCAACCTTAAGTGTGTATATCTAAGGTTTCGTTAAGCATTATGGAATATTTTTATTGGTAGTGTTTCATTATTTTATATGTTTGTTTTATAACATAGGTGCATAAGAACAGCTTTTGTTGCATTTTATATTTAACTTTTTCTGATAGTTTTATGACCAAAGTGATTTGATTTTTTTAATTCTTTTTTAATTTTTGATTTGATCTCATTTTTTTAATTCGTTTTTTATTTTTGATTTGATCTCATTTTTTTAATTCTTTTTTATTTTTGATTTGATCTCATTTTTTTTAATTCTTTTTTTTATTATTAATCTCGTTTTGTAAACAGTCTACCAGCAGGTGTGGTAGCAATCTAAATCATTATCTAAATTACAATACAGCGTATATTAAACATAATATATTAAAGATATTTATTTTTATTTACTTAAATAAGTTATATATTTATTTCTATAAGTTATTTATATGTTAATTTATTTTCATATAATATTATATACTGATTTTTAGTGACATGGCAGTTTCCGATAACGATTCATTCACCTCTGCTAATTCTGATTCCTTTTCCTTTTATTCATTTTCTGACTCTGAATTTGAACTACCTACACTTCGTTCTCTCCTGACCCAAAAATTCGATAGTTATAATAAAAATTTCAACGTTTGTCACATTAATGCCCAGAGTATTCCGCAGCATTACAATGACCTTTTAGAAACTTTTAATATTCAAAGTATCCACGCGGTACTTATCTCGGAAACCTGGTTAAACCCAACTTTGCCTTCTATTTCTTACGGGTTACCAGGCTTTATTTTACTTTGTAACGATCGCATTGATAAAAGAGGAGGTGGTGTAGCAGTATACCTGCGAAGTGGTATTCCTTACAAAATTTTATCAGCCTCACCTTCACAATGTACTGGATCACTTGAATATATTTTTTTAGAGATTGTTATTGGTGGAAATAAGGTTATGCTTGGTGCCATTTATTGTCCACCTAATTCCAATTATTTATGTGAATTTGAAGAGGCACTTCTTTCAGTTTGCTCTGATTATCAACATCACATTTTAATGGGTGACTTTAACACAAATCTTCTAAGTGATACCCCAAGATCGCGTGGACTGCGTTCAATTATTGAATCGGCAAAATTTTCAATACTTCCACTTGAAACCACCCATCATAATCTTACTACTGAGGATACTTTATTAGATTTGATATTAGTCTCCTCAGAAGAACGTGTTGCGTGCCACGGACAGTTCCCTGCTCCTGGTTTCTCGAGACATGATTTACTGTTCATTTCCTATAAAATAAAACCTCCCAAAGTAAAGCCAGTAATAGTGTGTCTGCGTAATTTTGCTAGGGTAAATGTAGAATCGCTCCAACATGATGCTTCGCTTTTAGACTGGAGCGATACATTTAATGCAGAGAGTATTGATGACAAGGTTACGACATTTAACTCTAATATTCATAAGCTGTTGGACAAACACGCACCTATTCGTGAGGTTAGGTTAAAGCGCGCGCCTGCGCCATGGATTACTGAAAATATCCGTAAGGCCATGTCTAAGCGCGATCAGATGTTTAGGAAATTCAAGCAGAACCGTTGTGAACTCAATTGGGCAAAATTCAAAGCTGCGAGAAATCGATGTAATCAGATGGTACGAGCCGCTAAACGCCGCTATATTCACCATAATATCATGAACTCTTCTATGGCTGATACATGGGAATTTCTTCGGACGATCGGGATCGGTAAACCTACGTGTAACGTGGACCCTGCAATCATTTCTATAAGTGACCTAAACTTACATTTTTCTTTAACTACCCAAATGGAGGCTTCTGTTAAATCAAGTACTATTTCTTATTTGAATTCCATGCCACAATCTCGTAACTGCACATTTAATTTTTCTCCCGTTGCTGATGAGGATATAAAAAAGATCATCTATTGTATTAAGTCTATGGCAGTTGGCTACGATGATGTGAATAGACTCATGATCACCTTAATTCTAGACAATGTAACTCATGTTATTACTCACATCATTAATCATTCTTTATTGACTGGGGATTTTCCCACACTTTGGAAAAAAGCATTTGTTATTCCGCTGCCAAAATAAATAACCCCAGTTCTTTCTCTCACTTTCGCCCAATATCTATTCTCCCTTTTTTATCTAAAGTTCTTGAAGCTATTGTCCACAAACAAATTTCTTGTTACATTTTCAAAAATAATTTTCTTAGCACATTTCAATCTGGTTTTAGGCCTGGGCACAGTACAACCACAGCTCTTTTGAAAGTTACAGAAGATTTTCGTACTGGAATGGAGAACTCAAAATTGACTGTGTTAGTCCTAATAGATTTATTAGTTATTCCTGTTGATCATGATATTCTCCTAGCTGTACTTTGTCACCTGGGATTCTCTTCGTCAGCACGGGACTGGTTCTCGTCGTATCTTCGGGATCGTCAGCAGGCTATTCGAGTGAGTCAGATCGTCTCTGATCGGTGTTCGTTGTCTGCTGGCGTTCCTCAAGGCGGAATTCTCTCTCCTCTCCTGTTCTCAGCCTTTATAAATCTCATTATATCCCACATTCGCTGTTCGTACCATCTGTATGCTGATGACTTACAAATTTATGCTCAAACTGAGGCGGCAGGTATCGATGATGTGATTAAGAAGCTTAACTGCGACCTTAACAGTATTTACGAGTATTATTGGTCAGACAGATTTGGTATTAGGGTTAATCCAACTAAGTGTCAGGCTATTGTGGTTGGTAGTTCTCGTAGATTGCCTAAAATTGATATGAAGGTGCTACCTCCTATAATTTTTAATAATGTTGCTATCCTTACTCAATAACTGTTAAAGATCTTGGCTTATTTATTGACAACACCCTCACTTGGCGACCGCATATACGTATGAGCAAAAAGGTCACTCACACTCTGCGTTATCTGTATCTTCTCAAGAATTTTTTACCGATAGGGACTAAGGTGATGCTAATACAGACTCTAGTGTTGCCTATTTTAGATTATGCAGATGTTTGCTATGCTGATGCCTCAAGAACTTCTAAACAAACTGGATCGACTTCTTAATAATTGTATACGCTTCATTTTCGGTTTACGTAAATACGACCACATCTCCTCTTATCGTTCTCAGCTTAAATGGCTACCCCTCCGCTAACGCAGATATTTCAGAATACTGTGCACATTATTTTCAGCTTTACACGATCCGTTTGTCCGTGAATATCTGAAATGTAAATTTCAGTATCAGGGTGATTCTCATAATCGTTGTCTCCGTTCTACGGAAAAGTCTAATCTCCATGTCCTCCTCTGTCACACTAGCTTCTTGTATAAATCTTTTACGTCTCTCGCGGTAAGATTGTGGAACGATCTACCGAGCAGTGTACGTGCAGCCACGAGCAAAGCATCGTTCAAACGCTTGCTATGGAATCATTTTCTGGCGTTGCAGGAGTAGTTTGTCGATTAACATTTTTTTTTCATATTCTTAAATTCTAACTGTTCCCTTATCCTGTTTTTATTTCAAATATTTCATAGGTGTTTGAATCAGAAACAGCTATATTTAATTATGTTTGTATATGTATATATGTATGTATGTATGTGTATATGTATGTATATGTATGTGTGTGTATGTGTATGTATGTGTGTGTATGTGTATGTATGTATGTATATATATATATATATATATATATATATATATATATATATATATATATAATGATACGTATGTTTATAACATGTAATGCAATATTTAATGTGTATGTCTACTTAAATGTTTTAACTCAGTAGCACTTTCCACCCACAATATCTTCTCTGCTTAGCTTGGAGGTAGACTGGCAGAGAATGCCTTGTTGCATTAAGTCCGCCTTTTTGTACTCGGTGTGCAAATAAAGCATAAATAAATAAATAAACTGCCACTGCATTGACAAAGATGCATCAACTGCATGTGTGATAACTGGCTAATACAAATAAAAAATTTTGCCAAAAATTTACCTTAACTTATTGCATAAAGAACGTCAATTTCATAGGTAAAAACCTAATATAATTTTTCTCTTCCATTTCAGTAAGGAATGTTCATCTTATTGACCCCATACCTTATATGATTAAATTAATAACTGAAACAATGATTCGGATGGAAGACGAAGGATGGTGGAATTTAAAAATTCCTGACGTTTCAGAAGACGTTAAGTAAGTCAATTACATATAAGAAATAGAGTTAGAGGATACACCATTTGATTTCGTGGTGAATAGTGACTGATTCACTAAGATCTAGTAGCTTCTAACAAATAGCAGTAAAACCATCTCATTTGCGAGAGATGTCAGTTACCGTGTAAATATATCCGCTATTACTGTTACTACCCTATATCGTCCCGTAGGTGTCAGAAGAGGCATCATAGAAAAACTGAAATAGCTATATCATTCTAATATCAACTCAAAACATTTGAGAACACTGAACCTTATAGGTCACATGTTTATGTGGTGGTTATAATATTAAAATGAAAAATTTAAACTCCCAAAAAAAAGCTGATGATCTTCAAACGGCTGAACCTATTATGATAAAACATGTCAAATAAAAAAGAGTGTGTCAACTGTGTTACTGGCCTATTCAAAAAGGCGATTAATGGGGTATTAGGTTTGTGATGGTGTAGCATATTTTTTGGCTAAATGTGGTCCGAATAGTTCACTGCTCTTTGAACTTTGCTCCTTGGGGATAACCGATGTGACGTATATTTATGAGTATGTATATATGAATAAAAGGAGAAAGGTCGAACGATTAAGCGTTCTCCAATTAATGCTGTATTAAGAAATAACTTAAATTGAAAATCTGAAAAACCCCCGAAACAAAAAAGCTGATGATCTTCAAAGCGCTGAACCGATTTTGACAAAACATGTTTAGGAACTACCGCTTGCCAAGCGTGTCAACTATGGTAAAACCCGCCCTATGAGGCAATCTATGGGGGGGGGGAACTATGTTCAACAGTGAACTTTTATAGGCTTTTATTTAATATGTTTACAAACTATCGCTAGAAAACCTGCTTTTCAATTTAAAAAACGGCATTCAAATCGGTTTACCCGTTTTAAGAGCTACAGTTCCACACGCAGACAGGCAGATAAACACATACAGCTGTCAAACTTTTGACACCCTTCTTTTTCGTCGTGGGTTAAAAAAATGGGATTTTGTACCTTTTAACCTGATGAAACATACAAGGAGTCAAAGAATGTAGGCTGCTCAGAACCATGCTATTTCAAAATTTATGGGGGAGGCCCATGTTCATAAGTTGACCTATGATGATGATAATGATGATAACTAATCGTGTTTGTTATTTGCAGTGTGGAAGTTGTTGAAGAAATCATCAATGGTACGGTCTGGTTCAAGAACGGCTTTGTTGTATCTATAAGACAAGTGGCTATAGTGCAGCATACTCTAGGACAGGTTTGGCGATATAATAGCGCTGAAAATACGACGACTGTAGAAATCACGGGTACGATGAGGATGAACGACGTGACCCTCGGTTTTGATGTGGAAGCAAGTCTGACAAATGGGGTCCAGCACTACACTTCTGAAATCGTTCTGCCGGAGATTGCCTACGATATGAGAGTATGGTTCAGTTTATATGTAATGTAAATTTTATTAAGGTAGCTTTAAAAACTAATCGATCAAGTCGCAGTGGACCAGTCACATAAAATATCCGAATAGTCCACAGATATTGGCGATAAAGGTTTTTCGAGTGGCAGGCACACTCGCTTCATGTTATGTTTAGCAGATGAGCTTTATTGCTGGACTGTAATGAATATATCCTGGAGCCTAAGTTGGTACTCAACAAGAAATGTTGGACTAATCAACATTTCTTCTTCATCATCAGCCCATGAAAATCCGCTGCTGGACATAGGCATCTCTTGTTGTCGGGAGGATTTTCCTGGAAGTCTTATAGACAATCGTGGTACGTGACGTATTGACCTTAAACAAAATGGTTCCGATGTATCGGAAGCTTTTTCTGGTATTTCCAATAATCCTCTCTTACGATTCGAAGTCAATGGATCCTCTGACGCCGATACCTTGATGTGTTCTGATTTGGATGATAAGAAACCTAATAAGCTTAGAGGTTGCATCTTAGTACCCAGAGGCAACAAAGTTAATGATAATCGTTATGTAAAGTAGTTTTTAACTCCAACATTAAGTAAAAAAGATAATAATTGACAATAAAAGATAAAAGAACAAAGTAGAATGGGATTAAATAATTTGCCTTTAACTCTCTCACCATCCAATTACTTTCAATGCGGGTGTCTTCAGGACAAAAGTGAATAGGTGAATCTATTAGGCTTGACTTTATTGGGCTACATTACAATCAAATGGGACAGTAGTTAAGACCATATTATTATAGTATAAAAATGTGCTTAGAGGATTTGCCTAAAGGAGAGTCCTAGTAACTTATCTATTACAGCCTGTTCTCTATGATAAAACTAAAAAGTGTAGATTTCTCCCTTTCTGAGACAGTTACGGAGGATTATTTTTTATTAGTCTAACACATAGTATACTATAATATACAATAGAATGGCTGTCAACCTTATTTTGTAGAAGGATTGGCGTCGCCTGGAGCACACATAGCAGTTTAGAGCACACAAGCAATAACGTCCTGTTATCAGTTATCAATACTACAAACACATTTTAGACTTTTGATTAATGTTTTGACACATAAATATTTCTTTATTTTTGTTTCTAATATTCTAAAAATATAAATAGTTTCAACTTAATAGTTGTAGAGTATGTCTCCTTTATTTAAATTCCATTTCCCGCTGTTCCCCCGGCTCCGCCTACTCCCCCGTTCTATTATGTATGTATTATAGTATTCTATGAGCTTTACAATATAGTAAAAGGGGCAATTTTAACTGACCTTAAGGCGCCATTTAAATCCCCAACTAATGTAAATAAAATGGCTTAACATAAATGTTCGTTATAGGTTATTAGAGATATGTTCACCGACCGCATTGATGTAAGCATTACTCCGTCTTTTTCAAGAACTATAACAAACAGAATGAAGATATTGCCCGCTACTAATGTCGCGGATATTTTTGCGAGTTTGGTAAGTGAAGACAGCAAGACGGTGTTTATCTGAAAGCATATTTTTGGGGAGGCGTTTACTCAGCTGGGGATTTAAAAAAATGTTGAGGATTTTTATTTAAAAAGTGTAAATTTTTGTATTTAATTTTAATAAGCCTTTTCTTTAGGAAAGATGTAAAAGGAAATCCCAGTCCAGCTGATGGTAAATGGATGCTGTGCTCCATGACCATCCTACATCCATCCTCGATTTAAGGATCAAAATGCAGAATACAGACCCTTGTGAACATTTCATTTGCCTTTGATTCTTAATTAAAGGATTTCAGGCGTTACATTGCATAATAGATTATGTTAAAAATGTTAAAAATTAAGTATCTAAAATCCGCGCCATAAAATAAAATGATGTATCTTACCAAGTTTGAAGAGCACCTCCCCCCCCCTCAGTTTCTCCTCTCTACCATCACCACTACTCTAGAAAGAACACACTACCGTCGATAATACCACACGTGTTTCGCCTCTAAATGTGACATCTTCAGGTGAAGTAGACTCTGAAGTGTGACTCTAATTGAATCAGTCGAACTCTGCATTCTCCCATTGGCGGCAACTCATAGAAATACTGACACTGATGATTCGTTGATTGACCTCATCATTACTTCCTCTTCTGAGCGCGTGATTCAGTTTGGGCAGCTCTCTGCTCCTTGTTTCTCACGTCACGACTTGATTTATTTTTTCATATAAACTTAAACCTCCAAAACAGAAACCTATTTTTCTGCAGTTACGCAATTTTTCAAGAATAAATATTGAGAGTCTCAGGAGAGACGCATCTTCAATTGATTTTGGCCCTTTGGTGGCGGCTTCTAACGTCGATGATAAAATATCCTTACTAAATAATAGCATCCTGAACTTGTATAATATTCATGCTCCGGTACATTATATAAAAGTTAAGCGTCCTCCTGCTCCCTGGATGAATAAAGGGGTACAAGTGGCAATGGCACGACGAGATCGGGCTTTCCAGAAGTTTAAAAAAAATCGCTCAGAAAAAAATTGGTCTAACTTTAAAACGCTAAGAAACAGATGCAATCAGGTGGTACGAAATGCTAAACGCCGCTACATTCATGACAAAATAACTGATTCTTCGCCCACTGATTTGTGGAAATTCCTGAAGTCTATCGGAATTAATAAATCTAATCCTCCGGAATATGGCGCCTCTCTCAATTTGGATGACATTAATCGTCACTTTGTTTCTATTACTTCATTGGACCTTCAAGTCCGTTCTGAAACTATTGCTTCTATAGAATCAATGCAGCCTCTCCGGATCCCTGACTTTTGTTTCTCCCCTGTTACTCAGGATGAAATTAAAAAAGCTCTGTTAGCCATTAAATCCAAGGCTGTGGGTTTTGATGAAATTAGTAAGCAAATGGTGTCTATGATTCTTGAGTACCTTATTCCAGCTATAACACACATTATAAATTATTCTCTGGACTCAGGTCAATACCCTTCTGCATGGAAAAAGGCTTTTGTAAGACCTCTTCCTAAAATACCTAATCCTGTTTTCCCTAACCATTTTCGTCCTATTTCAATTCTCCCATACCTCTATAAAGTTCTGGAAGCCTGTGTTTTTAAGCAAATATCTGTATTCACTGCAAAACATAACCTGCTGAATGAATTTCAATCGGGGTTTCGCTCTGGTCATAGTACTACCACTTCGCTTATCAAAGTCACAGACGATATAAGAAAGGGCTTAGATGAGCAAAAATTAACAGTGGTGGTGCTTATTGACTTTTCAAACGCTTTCAACACAGTGGATCATGGTATCCTCCTATCCATCCTTAAACATCTTAAATTTTCATCCCCAGCCTTGGAATGGTTTTCTTCTTATATTCGCGGTCACCAGCAATCGGTTCGCTCAGGTCAGCGGTTTTCTGCATGGGCTGAAATTGAATCTGGTGTGCCGCAAGGCGGAATACTTTCTCCTATTATGTTTTCCTTATTTATAAATTCTATCTCCTCAGTTTTAGATTGTTCGTACCATCTGTATGCGGATGATCTCCAGCTTTAATTACAGTCAAGCTTAAATAATCTTAACTTTGTGATACACAAACTAAATGATAACCTGGAAGCCATAAGAGAATGGTCATGTAAATATGGCGTTTCTGTTAATCCTGCCAAATGCAAAGTTATCATATTCGGAAGTTCGCAATTATTGGCTAAGGTTGATTATGGAAATCTCTCTCCTGTAATTTATAATGGAATTTTGATTCCATATTGTGATTCCATAAAAAATCTTGGCCTGTACATGGATAAAACTATGACCTGAAAATTGCAGATCTCTGAAGTTAGTCGTAAAGTTGTTGCTACCTTGCGTTCCCTTTATCGTCTTAAAAATTTCCTACCTTTCAAAACCAAACTTACGCTGGTTCATTCCCTTATTCTACCTATTATCGACTATGCCGATGTATGTTACCCAAATCTATCAGAAAATTTTCTAAACAAGTTGGAGCGCCTTCTTAATAATTCCATAAGATTTATTTTTGGTTTACGTAAGTATGACCACATATCATCCTATCGTTCAAAGCTTAAATGGCTACCTATACGTCAAAGGCGATGCTCTAGAATTTTACTTGTACTTTATTCAATTTTAAACGATCCAAGGTCGCCCTCTTATCTTAAGGATAATTTTCATTTTTTTCATCCGATCGACGGTCGAACATCCCGACAGTCAAACCGTCTGAGGTTAAGGTTTCCACAGCATAAGTCAAATTTTTTTAGGTCGTCTTTTACGATACAAGCTATACAACTTTGGAACACCCTCCCCAACGATATTAAGAATGCCGCAAATAAAAAAGTCTTCAAAGTTCTTCTCCGAGAACATTACCTGAAGGAAACTACTAATTAACATTATTTTCCTTAATTTTTGTCTTTATTTCTTCTTTTTTTACTTCAGATATTTATTTCATTATATATTATTCAAACATCATATTATATATATCATTCATTTGTATATTTATTTACGAAGTTTATAAGCATGTATATATATTATATATATATATATATGTATGTATGTATGTATGTATTATTGTATGTATATTTATACTATATGTGTATATATACTTAAATGTAATGTGTATGTATGTACTTTGCATATATGTATATTTTAATGTATGTATATATTTTAATGTAATTATTTACGTATAATGGTCGCACCTGCCAACAATTGTCCTTGGCACCCAGGGTTGACTGGCAGAGAATGCCACATGGCATTAAGTCCGCCCTATGTACCCCTTTAGCTTAAGGTGTTACGTTTAAGTTTTTAAATAAAATAAAAATAAATAAAATGGTCAAATACTCAAACACCACTGAATTTTTAAGATCTTGTGGTGTCACGATCACTTTGACTTAAAATGATAGAGACGGCACGAGACTTCTTACGAAGTCTTACCGGCGACTCTTCACGTTGGCCAACATAGTGACGAATGTTGTGGCCAATGCCAATGCCTTGATATGTATTGGAATGATGGCCCACAAGTTTGCGCGAGATACGTGTGGTATCGGTTCTTTACAAATAATCAAAGGATTGTGGCAGAGTTTGGCTGCCGCGTTCAAACGTTGGGCGCGCGTTTAGTTTGCTATGAGCTCCCAGAGTGATTGCACGTGCCTGATAAAATTTTATATTAACGCTTCTTAACTATTGCCTACAAAATGGTAATAAAAATGACCAATGAATAAACTATTCGCTTTATATAACTCTACCAAGCCGAAAATTGTTTGTGGAACCCAAGAAATAAAAATCACAAAATTTAAAATTCTAACAAACATAACCTAAAATAATAATTTCTTATACACATTTACGTAGTAGCGGTATGCTGTGAATAAATAAACTGCAGCAGCTATTAGCGCCTCAATATCCATTTTAATAAATTCGTCCGCACATTGGCCTTAACCGAATTAAACTGAACGACCTTCTAACGTGTGGACGCCATTACAAACTCTTGGCTAATATATTTGCCACAACATTCCTCACTATGTTGGCCAACGTGAAGGACCGCCTTTAGAATTGAGTAGCGTTTGAGTATCGGTTAGCTACCATCAATTTTTTAAATCTTTACTTTGATTCTTATTTGAATGTGACCACAGTCCACTGGAATGAAATAAAATGAAAGCTGTAGTTTAATATGAATAGTTTAAGAAAAAAATAACAATTTCATTTGTCTAACGTCAACATGTTTTTTTTTTAATTTACTACCGTTTCAAAATGAGATCCCTTTGTGCATTAAGTGAATTATTTCCTTGTTTGTCACCCTTATTTCTGATGAAAAAGTAAAAAAAAATATACTCTCAGATATAGATACTTTATTAAAAGCTGTTGGTGTTTATTGACAATGATATTAATATTACAAATCTGATTCCAATTCTTTTTTTTCAGTTTGT